TTTTTATACTCCAACAATGAACTAGCAGAAAATCAAGAAAGCAAGCCCATGTACAATAGTCCCCCAAAAAATAAAATACCTAGGAATAAATTTAACCAAGGAGGTAAAAATCTCCACAGTGAGAACTACAAAACACTGCTGAAAGAAATTAAAGAGGACACAAAAGGATGGAAAGATATTTTATACTTATGGTATTGGAAGAATTCACATTGTCAAAATGTCCATACCACCCAAAGCAATATACAGAATCAATGCAGTCTCCATCAAAATACCAATTATATTCTTCACAGAAATAGAAAATAACTAACCTAATATTCATATGGAACAACAAATGACCCCGCATAGCCAAAGCAATCCTGAGGCAAAAAAAAATAATAATAAATCTGGAGGCACTACACTACCTGACTTCAAATTATATTAAGGCTATAGTAACTGAAACAGCATGATACTGGCATAAAAACAAATGGACCACTGGAACAGAATAGAGAATCCAGAAATCAATCCACATACTCACAGCCAACTGATCTTTGACAAAGGCACCAAGAACATACATTCGAGAAAAGACAGCCACTTCAGTACATGGTGTTAAGAAAACTGACCATCCATGTGTAGAAGAATGAAACTAGAACTGTACCTCTTGCCATATACCAAAATCAACTCAAGCTTAAATACTTAAATATAAGACCTGAAACTATAAAATTCCTAAAAGAAAACACAGGGGAAACACTTCAGGATGTAGGACTGGGTAAAGACTTTATGAATAAGAACTCAAAAGCATAGGCAAGAAATGAAAAAATAAACAAATGGGAATATATCAAACTAAAAAGTTTCTGCAAAGCAAAGGAAACAATCAACAGAGTAAAAAGACAACTTACAGAATGTGAGAAAATATTTGCAAACTATGCATCTGACAAGGATTCATATCCAGAATGTACAAGGAACTCAAACAACTTAACAGTAAAAAACAAGTAACTAGATTTAAAAATGGGCAAAAGAGCCAAATAGACATTTCTCAGAGGAAGATATACAAATGGTCAACAGACACATGAAAAAATGCTCAACATCACTCAGCATCAGGGAAATGCAAATCAAAACCACACTGAGATATCATCTCACCTCATTTAGACTGGCTATTATCTAAAAGACAGAGAATAAAAGATGCTGGCAAGGATGTGGTGAAAGGGGAACCCTCCTACATTGCTGGTAGGACTGTAAATTGGTGCAGCCACTATGGAAAACAAGTATAATTAGAACTGTCATATGTTCCAGCAATTCCACTGGTGAGTATATACCCAAAGGAATAGAAATCATGATGTCAAAGGAATACCTGCACTCTCATATTTATTGCAGCTCTATTTACAATAGCCAAGAGATGGAACCAAGCTAAATGTCCATCAACAGATAACTGGAAAAGGAAAATGTGGTATACATACACAATGGAATACTACTCAGCCATAAAAAAAGAATGAAATTCTGCCATTCAGAGTAACATGGATAAACTTGGAGAAAATTATGTTGTGTGAAATAAGCCACGTACAGAAGGAGAAATACCACATGTCTTCATGCAAAAGTGGCAGCTAAAAATAAACAAATAAATAAGAAAGAAGGAAAGATACAACAATCCCAATAATACACTGAACATTAGAAAGAAGAGAACAGAGCTTTGGTTACTAGAAGTAGGAAAGAGGTAGGGGACGGAGGTAGTGAGAATTGGTAAAGGGTCTCAAAGAATGATTATGTTTTGTGATGATGCATATACTAATTATCTTCATTTGATCATCACATATTGTACATAGGTACTGATATTCAACTCTGTACCTCAAAAATATGTGTAATCAATTATGTTTCAATTAAAAAAACTGATAACTAAAAATAGAGAATTTGCTGAACATGTTCTTCTTTCATAAATTTTAAAAAATCATCTTAGTCTATCATCATTTTCCTACTTTTTCTAAATGTGACTTATGGCATACTTTTTGAAATTCCTCACAATTTTTTGTACCTGAAAAAGAGGACCT